TTTATATGAATTCCAATCTCAACTAAATTCTCTAACCAACTGCGACATATACATTGGAATCTGAAAATTCACGAATGGAGATTTCTCGATATTGATTCAGCAGCTCTAGTCCTATTCCTACTTTTAATTTTTTTTGAAATCAACAAAAGACTAGAACATTATCAGACTTGAAAAGATATCAAGTAGAACACTTTATTTAAGCTCAAAGCCTACATTTATACATCAGAGTTTGAAATTATACAATCACACAACTACCTCAAAAAAGTTCTAAGCCAAAGTTCGAGATATGAAATCAATTGTATCCTCTAAGGAATTTTTCATTAGTCTTTGAAGATGCCTGATTAAATATAGTTTTGTAATTGATATGAAATTTCCTAATGAGAAAAATGAAATTCTTATCTCTATGTCTTGAAATACATTAAAGTTTATTGAACATCAAGGTATCTTTTTTTTCTTTTCTTTAAGATATTACATATCTTTTATCTTTATGTGAATACAGTGATCTACATTTACGAGGTGCATGTGCAAATTTACTTGTTACATTAATTCAAACAACAATTCATCTTTTAACACTATCATCATTATCAAATTCATTTAATAATTCTTTTATTAATCAATGTTCACTTGTATCAACTCATTCACAAGACAGTTCAAAGTTATATGTCTTAATGATAATAACGAACGTGTTATACATGTTTCACTAAATGCATTTACAATCATAAGAATTGAATTGTTAGAAGATTCTGTTCAACATAGTACAAGTTCCTATGTTCTTGCTAAAGTAGATAAAAGAAATTTATGATTATAATAATTTTTTTTTTGTATGTATATAAAATAGTTTGCTCTAGCTCAACTTATACATGATATTGATTTTCGAATATTAACTTATCTTGAACAACAATAACAATTAAAACAACAGTATTCTGATATACGTGTCCATCAAGCAACTGCTTCGACTTTTGCTAAGTATGTATTTTGTAGAGATATTAACTAGGTAGTTTTTTTTCGAATTTGAATGAAAAAGTCGATTTTATTGCATTAAGTTAGTTATTAGCTACTTTTTGATTTTAAGGTTTTGTTGATCACAATTTATTTTTACCATGTCAATGGATATATAAAATTTATCATTCATTACAAGCTCAAGCATCAACTCGAATACAAACTGTTTGTTATTTTTGTCTTTTATATAGGTTGGATGTTTAGAAGATATTTATGTTCTTTCAAATGTTTTAAGAGCAACAACAATTCGACCAATTTTTTCATAATCAATATGATGAACTTCATTTATTTATAACTTTTTTACACATCCCTTTATATTACATGATCTTAATAATTTAATCTTTTCAAGTAGAGACAAAAAAAAAGATATTTATTATGGTTTTTTGAATTCTTTCTTTTTATTTGAAGATTTATCAAATCTCAACAAATGAAAAAATGTTTTGAAAGTAGCACAAATGATTCAAGTAATTGGAAAATTGAACTATTTTATTACCGTTCTCGAACTATTGAAAAAATATTCACAATCATCATTCTTTTGGACAGAATATAGTTGATATTTCAGTTTTCACAGAAGAAGAGAGTTCCAAAGTGTTAGATTTGAAGAATATATTTGATCATGTTTCGTCTGAATGAAATCATTTGTTTTTTTTGCTTTTTAAATAGAATGAAAAAGATTCATCAACAACATCAAATACAGACAAAGATAAAAAAGTTAATCGTACACAATTAGGTACCTTTGGGAAATAATCCATCAATGATGAAATTATTCCAATTAATACGTTCATCATATCAAATACATAAAAGTATATTAAATTCATCAGAAATGATCATTATTATCTATGAAATCAGTTTTAAGTCTTATTTCTACACAAGATTTATCAAAAAAAATTGGAAGAGAAACACTTAATTATTTTAAATCAACGTTCAATGTACACAAAAGGTAACTTCTTTTAAATAGTAAATATTTATTGTAAAGAAAATTTCAATTATTAATCTTCTTTGTTTATTGATCAAGCCAAAACCTTTAGGATGTTGTATTGTGTCTGAAACTTGTCTATGGATAAAGCTTTAGATGGAAATATTATAATGAAGGTTTCTGGAAGGGTCTTTCCTAGAGATGGAAAATTTCAATATAAGAATGTCATAGTAATAGAAAAACTGATTTTACAAATATCGATGATCTTAACGAGATTAGTTT